ACCAACGAAGTCACGTCCAGTGGCGTTCCGTCGCTGTGCAAAATTTGCAAAGCAACGAACATCCTTTCTGGAAATTACATAAAACCACACTTTTAAACATCAAATCCACACATCAGAAACATTGCGCTTCAGTGACAATTAAGGTAAAAAAACCGTGTCACAATCGTTTTCAACAACCTCATTTAGCAAGGAACATATAAGCGCGAAAAGCAGTTCATCTCACCAACTTACGGCAAAAATGGTCGATACAGCCACTTACCCTTGACGAGATCCAAAGCCCCTAAAATAGCACTGGTGAGAGACAAGTACGAGCCAACAAAGAAACCGAAATATTACAGAAATTAACAAGATACAATTTAAAAGTAGAGCAATAAACAACCCAAGTTAGCATCAACTTAAACAGAAGGCTAGTAGAACATCAAACAGAAGACCTAACCCAGGTCTAGCACCTCCGAGGAAACCAAAGCGCATTCCATATGATGCACTGTTTCGACCACGGTAGCCGACGTCGCGAATCCTCTGAGGATACTAAAATAAAATCAGAAATAATAATGGTTCCTCGCCAAAACTTTTCCAAGAAAATGGCTAGGAATCACAATTCCGCAATACCGCGGAAAAGTGCAAAGGTTTGATGACAAAAGCGAATTGATTTAGAAGTTTTAAATCATTTCAGACAAAATACTCTGAGAAGCAGGAAACTTACAGTAGTGGCCGGACTAGGGTTGCCCAACGACAAGCCTAAAAACTATACTCTCTGAACAAGGCCGCTACAAATGTAAGAATTTCACCGAAAATTATTAATTACCATAAAGAATAATTCGTAGCTGCCAACGATAAAATTATTTTTAATATAACCGCAGAACATCAGTAGTTGGCCAAACGACTGGCTCAATATTAAAAATGACTAAAAAACATAGAGCCAAAAAAACTAGCGATCAAGCAACCAGAATTATAAACCTGTTTTGATCTTCGTATCTCCGGAAAGTAGATCCAGTTCATTCACTGGTGCAGCTTTGGTGTTTGATAAAACCGAACTTTTTGGTGACAGTCGCCTTGCGGGGGGAGGGCGACGATTGGATGAACGATGGTGACCATGAGGACTTCTACTCCGATTAGTCCGCTTGCCAGTATCATGCTTTCCCTTTCTATGGAAATCTGGACTTCCTTGATGCTTTTTAGACGAAGAAATTCCGTGTTTCGAACTCATACTTCTGAACAAAATAAAGAAAATTCAGGTATAGAGGCATCGTCTAAATGCGGTATAAGTAGTTCTGCATCACTCGAGAAGAAAAAACCTTCATGCTCGAAACGTGACTCAAAACTAATCCTACAAAACAAATGCAACTAGCAAATCCTCTGCTCCCTAAACCATTTTGAATATGTATCGATCCCACGCTTCTTATTTTTTTTTTTTTTTTTCGATCGAACTGCACAGTAGTACCGCGTGCTCACTGCTAATCAATGATTAAAAGACAAACAGAAGAGACAAATGACAATTGTTCTACCTCCATACTCCAAGTCTCATTTTGAACGATGATTAACACGCCACCTCACTTAGTCCCCCTCCTCTCCTTTGACTGTCCCCTGCCCAGAGATTTGGTAAACACTACCTCCATCCCATGTAGAACTTTTATTGATAGAGCGACCTAAATAATGCTCAAAACAATTCAATTGCAAATTACACTTTATTTCTCGCATTCTCTAAAAACAAATAAATAAGTGTTTGCATATCGGACTTCTAAAATAATGCGTCTAGCAACGACTTATTCACCCTCTGCAAATTAAGATACACAATAATGAAAAGTTGCCCTTCATCATCTACCAACTTATCCTCTGCTTTAAATAAGCAATCTTTGATTTATTTGAGCTTAATCCGTGAGGCTCTCTCCCAACAAAAATTATTGATGAACAGCCTTTAAACTTCCTCGCCTCCTCTCTTTTTAATTTCAGGAATTTTCAGTATAACTATTTTTGCATTATATAAGACTTCTAACCTTCTCAAGTATTCGTCAAACTGACATAATTTTCCCGCAGCTTTAAAATTCACCTCAACTACCAATTATCAGAACCTTACTGAAACTATTAAAAAACTACAGAGTTCTTTCCCACTTCGTAGCTACTTCCAATCTGCAGAAAATTTAAACAAACAATTCTTAAAGCAAAGAGACAGAATGCCCTCAAACGACGCCCACTCCTCTCCAACTATTACTTACTGGAGAACGTTAATAAGCTCAAATAAATAAGGCCCGATAAAATTTAAAATAAAATAAGTCCACAATTTTGGCATTCTTTTTCGTTAACCTTCAAAGACCCCAACTTCCCTTCGCTAACTGTAATAATTTGTTATTGCGCTAAAAGTCTTGCATCGTGCACGAAATTGTTTGATCCCTAGACATTAAAAATTTTTATATCATTGATTCTTCATAGCTTATAACCACAACTACTGACAACCTAAACTACTGAAGTTTTAAATACTCAGAAGCAAATAAACACAGGACACACTAACCTGAAGCGGTTATCACCGTACCGAAATACATCAAAAGTGGGATTATAATACTATAAACCATATATACATAACTCTAATAATTGTTCCATTAGTAAATGAAAGACGACTATGAACTACAACAAGTCCCTTAAAAAAATTTTGAACAAGTCAAGGAAAGAGAACCTGAGACGCAAATCATCAGTGACAAAAATACTACATCCCTACACCACCAGTACAAGTACGGCTAGCTAAGTTTAATTTTTTAAAGCATAAAAAGAATAAAAAGTAGCCTGCAGCTTGAGGAAGTAAACAATGGATGTCAGCAATGAACAGAAAAAAATTGCCAATAATTGTTTCAAAGTCAGCGACTGGCCTGCAGCTTACTGCGAAAACTAAATTTTACCAAAAAAGCAACTTAAATCTTAAAGGGCACTTCGAATCACAAACATCCCAGGAAATATCTCAAACAAAACAATAAACAACCATACAAGGAAGCGAAGCATGGAAACAAAAGCATTCAGGCACCAACTTCAATTCTAAAAACTTCACTCCATGAAAAAACAGAACAAAAACCGTATTTCATCCTCAACCGCCTCTGAAAAATTTAAAAACTGAATCCAACGCAACAATACACACGATACTTTTTAGATACGTATGTATATTTATATAAATTCAAACAATTTTTCTTGGACCACTCAAAACATAAAGTTACGAATGACTTTTTACAATGACCATACACATATACATTAACCCACGCAAATATTAATAACATAAAATACCCTTAATTTGCCGCTAAAACGCAGCAAACACTCACTAGATTCCCACTAGTCAAACAGAGGATCGAAATTCTCGTCGTACGCACTTTGAACCTGAAGGGAATATAATGCGCATAACGAGGACAAAGCGAGGAGCCAAACGGCCACGGTCATAACACTCATTTGCGACACCGAGACGCTGGAAACTTGCCAGAATAGCGTTCCTTTTACCAAAATTTCCGAAGTACAAGAAGGCTGGTTTCAACTTTTTTTAGAAAGCACTTCAAGCCCACTTCTCTACGGTGCTGCTGTGGTAGAATTTGAGAAACGGCAGCTGCTGAACCGTAGCAAGGCTTGCGTTCAGTACCATTTTTAAATCGCGGTAATTATTCGTACGTTTCATAGCATGAAAATTAATTATTTGCAGATACTCGCATGCACTGCGCTCACATATGCCTCTTTTGGCTCAGCCCCACATTGAAAAAATTCCGCCGTTATTCTTCTGCTAGATTCTTTTTCTCTTAGGCCTTCATTGCTGGCTGCCTTGCTTATTTCTACTTTTAATAATGTAGGAACTTCACTTTCCCAGTAAAGTTCTCAGTACATCCCCGGTCAAATCTCGACGTCAACATGCATGAGGTCTTGCATAATATAAAAGCTTCCTTAAAATTTAATCTTTTTGAAAATTCTGTCAAGTAGTCAAAGCAGGCAGCTTGTCGCTTGAAAAGATCCCTGTTTTTTAAGCCTAATGAAGGTCTTCACAGTTTGATGTCCCTGCATATTTTTTCGAAGCTGCACAGTTTGCCATGTTTAAAATACTTATTTCTGGGGTTGTTTATTATGTTAGACAATTTTAGGAACCGTAGGGACTTCAGTATGCCATTAAAAAAGTGATTCTATAGGCGCAGTCTACTTCTTCACAGTCACCAAGCATTTTTTGTACGACTGTAACTGTACATAAATCAGCCTATCGAGACGCCTCCCCAAGAATCCGTTGTTGAACGCACACTAGTGAAATCAGTGACCTGTTCTCTTCCTGGAAACTCCAGTTTCAGCAGAAACATATTAACGTAGTCCCCTCTGAACTTAAGATATGGCAAAGTTATGAAGTTTGCAGGGCAGCATTATACGATACCTATTACTCTTAATACCCTGCAGCGGAAAGAATTGCAGGTCTCGATAAAGTACAGAAGTGTTGAAGCTGTTGTTTTAACGCTACTCCATACTTTGTCGGATCATCGGTAAGGAAGCAAAAGTGGACTAACGCACAACAACCGCAACCTTTTAACGCTTTTCATTTTAAGGCACGCTGTCGAGAACGTTTGCAGCGTAGAATAGTGAGAACGGAGACACAGTCCATTAAAGACGTTAAGGTACATGAATGCTCCCAAAACACAAACACAGAACGGCACATACTCAGAAATACCAAAAACAAAATCAAAACCGAAATAAGCCCCACAGTACAAAAGCATCTGCGCGTCAAAGCAACCATAACCCCTATTTAAAGAAATATTAATAAAGGACATGACAGTCCACTAAGTATACAGTACCAGCCCCACTGTCTTCAGAAAGTCCCTATTCTCAAATGCACTACTTTTCGTTTAAAGACTTTGAGACTGTTAAACGCGGACTTCTGAAGTAAGAGCATCCCGTAGTTGCTCTGTTCTGGAGTTAACTTTTTGGTACACACATTGTTACTGATTTCTATTAAGAAACGGGAACGAAAGAAGACAAAGAGAAATCAGCGACAGTAATGGCAGCAAAAATAATAAATTAAGGAAAAAAATCAATAAATACGGACACACAGCTGGACCAATACCACCTCACGGTACCATTTTAAATGATAACCGTGGACTTCTCTACAAATATACGTTACAAAGTATTACCGATAAACGTGATTACCAAGATTGACTCGGAGCAATGACCAAAAGCAGAGTCAAGTGAAGAAAAAAGAGTGTTTCAGAAGCAAACGTAAGTTCTGAGGGTACACAATGCACTAATGAAGCCAGCGACAATAGTGAACATGCTTAAACAATTGAATAACTGAATAGGAACATCCCACATGCTTTATTGCTGTATTCAAAATAATAAGATGAGTCAAAAAATAATCTGCGATTTACAGATTAATAAGAATTGGCTGTCCATTTCAAAAAACCCCAATCTACTAATACTCAGTAAAGCAAAAGAGTAATTCGATTTATTGCTTGAGGTTAATAACAGCACGCAACTGATTTGCACAAAAAAAAAACAAGGAAAGCTTTCGAGGCAATAAATAATGAAGAGCAATCACACAGAAAACCACAATTCATTGGGAAAGATAACAAAGGGACTTCAACCCCTTCTTCCAGTGCTTCTCTAATTAGCACCAAATACCCGTAACGCATCCTTTTAGTGAAGAAAGGAGAGCAATGCTATCACAAAAGCAATCAAAAACCCAGAAAGCTACAGCTATAAAATCCATAACAGGAAAAACCGTACACTTCTGATTTTCAAGTCATTTCTGGAAATATGACTCCTTCGAAGATTCTTACCATAATTTTCATCCTTTGCCAACTAGCAGTTCCATCTAAACAACGTAGATTTAGTAGAAAATGTGATAAACAAAAGTCGCCTGGCATTGAAAAATCCCCTTTTTTGCAAAAGACTAGTTCCCTTTCTCAATACCTGTTCCTTGAAAAGCTTTTTTACATCTTCCAAATCAAGCTCCAATTCCTCAATCCGTTCTATCTTTTCTCCATGGGCCTCCAGGAGGCTCTCATACCGAACACGCAAGTTCTAAAAGCAATAAGAGTAACCGATACACGGCGGTTACAAGAACCATATATCTTGTAAAAAATTTACACGAATGAAAACTGCACAACCTGTAACTCTTTCCTGGTCCTCGCAAGCAGTTTTGCGTTACTTTCCATTTCAATTACCTTCGCTTTTAATGCCGCAACTTGCCGCATTGACTGCTCATACTTCGTCATTACCTCAACTAGTTCAGCCTAAATGACATTTAGCTTTGACGTAACTATGAAACATTATACTCACTAGTATGAAAGAATTCCAAAGAATACTAATTGATAGCAAAAAACCTGAGCAGCATTCAAACTCCCATATGATACAACTGGCTGTTTGTCATAATCGTTGGCGACTGAAACGGTTGAAGAAGTCCTGGAGACCGCTCGCACCGAAGTTGTTTCAACGTTCTCTCGGAGCTTGGCAAGTTCACTTTCATACTCTTCACACCGCCTAGTGAGCGCGACGACTTTGCTCTGCTAAAAACCAACAGTGACTTCGTCTGAATCACACTCGACTTGGTTATTAAAAAAATAGAACAAGAACCTTCTCTGAAATCAGTTTTTCCGCATTTTCTGCCTCTGTCCGCAAACGAGTGTAAAAATTTTCAACTTCTTTCTCCTTCAGACTTAATGAAGACTTAAGATTTCTGTTAAGATCGTTGATGCGATCAATCTCCACCTCTAACCTTAAAAAAGTTTTTATTCAACATGTTACAACCATCATCTCGCGAAGAATTTCTTTCAAAGCCATTCCAAACCAGTAGTAAAATGAATGACAAATGGTAAACACAACTAATGCAAATTAGGAAGATTTATAAAAATTTCTCTGCAAAGCCTCACCTTTTCTGATTTTCTTCGAGAATCCTTAACCTGGAAGACAGTTCCACCACAACTTGCTGAGACTCGCTATTTGAAGTTCGCAACTAAAATGTTTTGCTTGAAAAGAAAGTAAACATGCAGTAGTTATCACTAGAGATCGCTATTTCAGATGATGCATGGTGAATATCAAACGCTAACGCTCTCAGTTCGCTTGCCAATATAGAAAACATAAAAGTGTATGTTAAATAAAAAGGTGAGCCAAAAAACCTGAAAGATTTCAAAAATGCAGCAGAACTGCAAGATACCTTCGCTAACTCGGCTGAGTACTCCCTATTTTGTGCTATTAATTCATCTGAAATGTACAAAGACCACGTAAAGTTGAAAAAAGATTGTAAAGTTCACACGAGAAACAGAGAAAAATCCTCAGAAACTTAGAAATACCACTATAAAAGACTTCAAAACCTGAAATCTCGTGTACATCTAAAGGTTAATAAAAACAGTCACTTTTTTCTTCAAGAATCTTATTTGTCATTTTCTCCTTCTGCGAAAGCGATGACTCGAAATCGTTTGTTTTAACGCGTAGCTCCTCTTCCAACTGTTGTATCGTTGTTAGAAGTGGTTGATTAGCTTCAAGAAAAAAAAAATGATGTAACTCAAGGCAATAAGAGAAAACTGTCTTTTAATATTGGTGAAACGATTTTTTTCAAAAAACTTTCTCTCACTAGATAATCCATTTAGTCTCTGCAAAGTGAAATCATTCAGAAAACAATAATTGTGACAGTGTAAACAGTTGGTTACCATATTCAAACTCTAGAGAAAAAAAATAACCAGTGTTTGCATAGATCATACCACAATGAATCATGCGTTTCTTTGAACAAATGTCCCAAACTTTTCTCGGACCTACACTATTTACTAGCTTCAACTTCTAATAATTCTTTACTTTTTTCGGAAAAAAATCCGTCCCAGTCCGCAATGAAAAAAAAATTTTTCGCTAAACACAGACGCCTCTGCAATGCACTTTGACTAATCCAAAAGCACAGACTAGATTTTGACACCGTCGGCTCTCCGCCTATGGCCAAAGAAAAAACCCAGCACGGTAAAAAAATCATTCAAATACACTGTATGTCTTAAAGCTTCAACACCTCTCATCATTTCTCACCCTTTAACTTCCGACGTTCTTGATTCCCCAATTACGATTTCTTTACTTTATATAAAGAATAACTGTTTCGAAAAAATTTGTTTTAAATACGCAATAAGTAAACACAACACTTTGAATTTTTCCTCAGCTTTTGTACTTTTCAAAAAAAAAAAAAAAAAAAA